ATCTTTGATATTTCTGTGGTATCAGTTGTAGTATCTTCTGTTTCATTTCTAATTGAGTTTATTTGCATGTTCTCTCTTCTTTCCTTGGTTAGTCTCGCTAGAGATCTATCAATTTTATTTCTCTTTTCAAAGAACCAGTTTTTTGTTTCATTTATGTTTTGTATTTTGTTTGTTTCAATTTCATTTAGTTTTGCTCTAATCTTCATTATTTCTTTTCTTCTGCTGGGTTTGGATTTGGATTGTTCTTGCATCTTCAGTTCTGTGAGATGTGACCTTAGATTGTCAGTTTGTGGCCTTTCAAACTTTTTGATATAGGCATTTAATGCTATAAACTTTCCTTTTAGCATCACTTTTGCTGTATCCCAGAGGTTTTTATAGGTTGCATCACTATTACCATACTGTTCAAATGATTTTTTAATTTCCCTCTTGATTTCATTGTTGACCCAAAAATCATTTGGAGCAAGGTTATTTAATTTCCATGTATTTGCATTGTTTCGAGGGTTCCTTTCAGAACTGATTTCCAATTTTATTCCATGGCGGTCTTAGAGAGCTTGAGATAATTTCAATTTTCTTAAATGTACTGAGACTTCTTTTGTGGCCTATCATGATGTCTATCTTGGAGACTGATACATGCACTGATGAATAGAATGTATATTTATAGTTGTTGGGTAGAATGTTCTACAAATATCTACAGATATTTGTAGAAGTCCATTTGTTGTAGGGTATAGTTTAAGCCTATTGTTTATGTGTTAACTTTCTGTCTTGATGACCTACCTGTCTAGTGCTGACAGTGGAGTATTAAAATCACCCACTATTGTTGTGTTGCCATCTATCTCATTTCTTAGGCCTAATAGTAATAAGTTTGGGAGCTCCAGTGTTAGCTGCATATATATTTAAAATTGTAATAGTTTCCTGTTATACTAGTCCTTTTATCATTACATACATAAAGTCTCTCTTTGTATTTTCTCAGGCAGTCAGCAGGGTCATAGAGCTCCCAAGATATAACCTTTGTCTTCAGCTACCAGGGTGGGTAGAGAAAGACCATAGGTCAGGGCAGGGACAGGGGTGTCTGAGCTCAGCCTCTCCTTGGGTGGAGGACGGGGTTGTGGTTCCCAGTCCAGTGGCATTATATTCCCAGGGGGATTATGGCTACCTTTGCTGAGTTACATAGGCCACCAGGGAAGTGAGGGAAGGTCAGCAGTCATAAGCCTCACCCTGCTCCCACACAGCCCAGGGTCCTAAAGGCCAGTCTCACTCCCACTGTGCCCTCCACAACAGCACCAAGTCTATTTTCAGGTAGCTCGTGACCAGGGCTGAGAATTCGTCCTAGACCACAAGCCTCCCCATTGAGAAAGCAAGGAGACTCATAGTTTTTTGGCATCTCGGGGAGGCTGCAGTTGTGATCTAGTTCCTTCAAAAGATCTCTTTGCTTTCCTGGTATTTTTCAGGGGCAGTTCCTGGAGCAAAAGTTCACCATGTGAGTCTCTACACGCTGCTCTGTCCATTCAAGCATGAGCTGCAAGCTAGTCCTGCCTCCTATCTGCCATCTTAATTCTTCCAGTTTTTATTTATTTATTTGAGAGAGGGTTATATCTGGCTCTGTCACCCAGGCTGGAGTGCAGTGGCAACCTTCATTGCTCACTGTAACTTTGAACTCCTGAGCTCAAGCCATTCTCCAACCTCAGTCTCCCAAAGAAATGGGAATATAGGTGTGAACCACCATGCCTGGCCCTTGTGGCAGCTTTTCTTTAACCCACTCCAGTGATATTTTCTGTTACTTATAGCTGGATACTTAGGCAACTTACAAATGTATGTGACTTATATAATAAATAGAGGGCACTATAAAATTTTAGAGAGGATGAGAAAAAAGGCTTGAATTAAATAAATTCCATAATCTTGGATTAAAAGATTCAACATTATTATTATTATTATTATTATTTGAGATGGAGTCTTGCTCTGTCACCTAGACTGGAGTGCAGTGGCGTGATCTCAGTTCACTGCAACCTCTGCCTTCCAGGTTTAAGCAATTCTCCTGCCTCAGCCTCCCGAGTAGCTGGGATTACAGGCATGTGCCACCAGGCCCTGTTAATTTTTTGTATTTTTACTAGAGATGGGGTTTCACCATCTCGGCCAGGCTGGTCTTAAACTTCTGACCTCGTGATCCACCGATCTCAGCCCCCCAAGGTGCTGTGATTGCAGGCGTGAGCCACCATGCCTGCCTTCAATGTGATTTTTAAAATGCCAGTTCTCTGCAAATTTACTAGTTTAACATAATTACCACAAAAAATGCAGAGTATTTTTCAAGGGTGTTTATAAAGTGATTCAAATGTTTTCTTGAATAAGTTGAAAAGTAAAGGCATTTTGAAGAGAAGAGTTGGGGGGATGTAACAGTCCATCAATACTGATGTATATTGTAATAGTATTTCACTGAAGAAAAATGAGAAGATGGAGTAGACTATGAAGCCCATAAGCAGTTCAGAAGTAAAGGCACACATTCTTTAGATAATAATGTTGGCCCTCCCACCAAAGGGAAATGGGCAAATCAGCATGTAATAGAAGGAATAGCCAACCTGTCAACTATTTGGCATTTGTTGTATGATATAAGACAGGTACCTAATTTAAAGTTTTAAATTTAAAACTTTAAATTAGGTACCTGTCTTATATCATACAACAAATTCCAGTATATGCTTGACACCAGTAATTCCCTAAATATTTAACCACTAACTATATGCCAAGAACTATGCAAAGACTGAGGACACAAGAGTATGCAAAAACATGGGAGCTTAGAGTCTAACAGTAAGATACAAAACAGGCCCAAAGTAGGACTGATTGAGATAATGTCAGTGTAATGTGCTTTCCCCAAGTAGTAAAACACATACTTTTGCTTAAAATAATTAAGACAATCCTGTAACAGGAAACTTTGTAAAGACTCCAATACAATATGACCCTTCACACTCACCCCAAGTTTTGTGTGTAATTCTGTGAAAAGTGTCTGGTGCTATACAATATTTGGACATGTATATTAATCACATAAAGAAATTTAAGACTATGATAGTGACACTGTACAAGATATAAATGTCACAAAAGAGTGCCACACAGGTGATCCATAGGGGCAATATTCTGAAGAAATGAATATATTAATGTTAAATGTAAAACAAAAGAGGATAAAAAATTGTAAGTGGAATAATATGATAATGCCTATTATTGAGGTGAGGACAAAATTCTAATTCTTAGAAACCAGAACTAAAAGAAAGTTACAGATCTGGTTACTTAAGCTAAAAATAAATTAGCCATGTTCCATAGAATGAGTCCAGATCACGCAGCAGTCTACACCAAGGTCAACAACATTTTTCAGTAAAGGGTCAGAAAGCAAATAATTTAGGGTTTGCAGGGCATACAGTCTCTGTTGCAACTACTCAACTTTCCTGTTGTAATATGTAATCAGCCACAAGCAATAACGAGATGAGCATGCTTGTGTTCAAATAAAACTTTATTTATAAAAAGGATGCCAGATTTGGACAATGTATCATAATTTTCCAATCCCTGACCTAGATCACTTAATTGTCTATACAATGGTGCATGCTTAAAACAATATATATGGAGCTTTGAGTCCTTGGCTCAATTTTGAAATTGGAAGATATAACTTTCCATATACTATTTCTGCCCGATAGGCTCTTCACCCTACATGAAAGAATGTGGACCCTTCTTCCAGCTTAATTATCTACCAAAGACTAGGAGTCATACTCACCTAGCAAATGAAAGAGGTGTATTAGAGGCTTTTGCCAGGGAATAGTACTTTGATCTCATTGCCTCCAATATTTGCTAAAGTTGGGTTATGAGTTAAAATACTGAAGGAAGGTTTCTTAGAGAACAAGTCATCTACCTACTTTTCTTGATAACTTATATTCTTTAACCAAATAAGGGCTACAGAGAAACAGGTAAGTAGATTACACTTCTTCCTCCCACTCAGCCACTTTCTGCAGAACTTTTCTTTTTCTGTATTGCTCTTTGGTTTGAAGATATTAGTTAATTTAGAAAGTCTTTATAAGAAATGAACAAATTGTAAATAATGACATATTTCTCTTTTATGATGGAGGATACTCTCCCAAAACAATGAAGGATAAACTGCTTGGGGACCTATTAATCACTGCTTCTGTTTCACATGTGTCAGGTTTCTGAGAAGTTACTTTGGAAGAAGAGTTATCCACATTTCCTCCCCCCAGATTCTATTCCTGGCCCTTCTCTAAGAGCACACTGCCTCAGGAGTCTGACCTCTTCAGACTGAGATTGCATCACCACATTCCCTTGCCTGGGCTTGGAAGCATCAACAGGAAAAGGAAAGCAGAGCCAGGGTATATTCTTACTCTTGCCCCAAGGATGCAGCTTTTAGCAGTGGCTGTTTCTTATAAAGCTGCGGATGTTGAATGGCCTTCCTCCAAAATGGGAATATCTTCCCCTCTTTTTACACTTTAAGCCAAAAATGGTAATAGCCTCCTGCTGTTGCCAGTCCCTGTGCACTTCACTGCCCCCGTTAGTGCTCAAAGTCTGCATATTAAACTCTCTTCAAGTAAACCCTTTGGGTATGCCATCTGATGCTTATTAGAAATCTATCTTATGAACAGAAAGACAAAAAGAGTGTTTTGAGGAAAGAGCCTTTTTTTCCACTGCCTTAAGAGAAAATCTTATCACCAGGTACCAAAAATTTTGTAAAACTGAAAACATATAACTTAAACATTCAAACATCATAAAACTGCACATTTAAGTTACTGTTTGAAATTATGGGCTACATATATGTCACTATGACAAATAAGCATTTAAATCAATGATTGTGGAATGAGATCTACTTAAATTCTACTTGAAATTCAATGAGACTCAAGATAACCTGTTATTTAAAAGCTTTCATTTGCAAACTGGTTATTCTTAATATATTGTTGAAACAGAAAAATATGCTTAATAAAATGGACAGGCATAGATAAATATTTTGCAGCTTAGTGGCATACCTCTTTAAACTTGTGAGTGAGCTTGCTTGTGTCCAGGTCTGACGGAGAAAACATGTCCTCATTCTCAGGTAGCTCAAAGACTTCAATGGCCATGTCGCTGCCAGGCAGAACAGGTCCTACCTCATCTTCTTCTTCATCTGTGGCATATTCTCCTGTCTGAAAGGAAGGGGGTTTCAGAAATCCAGCTGTCCTTACTGCAGGTGGAGGTGAGTTATTTGAAAATATTTAACAAAAGACAAATAAGACATGTCCCCAAATGGTGAAAGTGTTACGTAGGCTTTTCAGTCAAGCATGCCTCATGCAGCCAATGTTATAAACAAATGTTAGTTCAAAGATCCAAAGTAACAAACCTACGCCATATACAAGTGTGTTTCAGTGGCACACTAGTATATGGCATCTACTAGTATCAGTGGCATCTTCAGCATAGAAACAAGAATTGCTTTTTTTTTTCAATCTGAGCACTTGATTATTTTACCGAATAAAATTATGTTGCTGAGGCAAATAAGAAATTTGTAAAAATTCTCTTTGTGAATGAGCCACCCAATACTGGGAGCAAGGAAGAGGGAAGGGGAGTTTAAAAAAATCACAGAATTGGAGTGACCTTAATTAAGCCTTGCAAAGGTTTAGCTGATTAACTCTCCTAAGCTTTAAAGTTCAAATAGTTCTGTTTTGTTTGTTAATTATTGTGGTGGTGAACTAGTGAGCTAAAGAATAAACCAAAAGGTTTCTAACCTATAGCCTGCACCAAGTGTATTGTTTTGCCTGCCCAGCACTTTTATAAATCTGAGTATTTTGTCAATGTAAGAAAAATGTTTCACATAAAGTTTTAGACTTCCAGCTTTGAGAAAGCCAAATATCTGTTAATATAGGCACATTGCAAGATGATAACAATTGGCCAGTTAGCAGTGGCTGCCCCTCTTAGAAGAGTTATAAGCTTTCTTATACCCCACAACTTCTCTAATGCCATATTGTTCTATGTTGTTAGCTTCACTCCTTTGTAATGCCCACTGGCCCCTGTACACATCTGAGTTCATGACCCCTGGAATAAACGTTTCTCTTTGTCACTAACTTCCTTAACTTTATTAGAAGGTAGATCCTCTCCTGGCAGCATCAAGCTATGAGAATATAATTCAAAATAATTGTTTGAAATCTATACCTTATGAGATAATTTAAAGATAAATCACTGACTCACAGGGTTAAAAAGACAAAGTTCATTGAACTTATCCCTGTTCCTTCAGGTGACATGTTATCTAACACATAAAACAGAGATAGAAATTCATATTGCCTTTTAAAAACTGTCATGAAAGTGTACAGAATGATCTATTCCTTTGATTAAATAGGCTCAGCATCTGATTGCTGTTTTTTTCTTTTGGTTCTGTATTATATTCTTCCTACTAAAGCAGGAATCCCCTTTCCTCCCAACCCATGTTTGCACATGAAGGAAATCTGGTCCTTAATCCCAGTCTAATAATTCTCAATGTCTGGAAGAATATTGTTGACTTCAGATTTCTGTTTTTCAAATAAAATAATTCTAGTTTCCTCAAAGGTAATTTGCTGTAATTGTCTTTGTGGTTGTGCTCTGATTTCTCTCCAAGTTTTCCACGTTTCTCTAAATTGCAAAGCCTGAAAGTAGACACAGTTTCTAGTAAGGAATTTGAAGGTCATTGACTATGATGGACACACTGCCACAGCATCCTTCACACTCTGCCTCCCCACACAGAGGCTACTGTCATGAAGAACTTGACATTGGTGGCATCTGTGTATGGAAGTAAGCTCAGATATTCCATGCAGAACAATAATTTTCCAAACTGGTTACAGGTTAGTTGGAGCCTTTATTTTCCCCAAGTACTATCAGAACTGATTTGACTGAAAGGAAAAGAGGTTGGCAGACTCCAGTATGATCCTTTTATCCCCTGAGTACCTGGAACTCTAGAACTCTGTAGAAGTCAGTCTGAAAATGTCTAAACTATAAATACTACTTCAAGTGTCTTTGGCAGTGGCAGGTGAAGGTAGCTGAAGAATGGGAGCTGGTTGGTCCCAGATAGCTTGTACTTATTTATCAGTACAATGAGATCCTACAAATCTTTTGAAAAAAACTCTAATTCCAGATTTGGTAATTTTTTTTTTTTGGTATTCTGTGAATTAATTAATCTCCTGTTCATACATATTTCTAGAGCCAACAAATACTTTGTAAATTCTAGTAAAGTTAACAGGAATGCAGCAAGACCGGCAAGTAAATAATCTCAAGATACCTTTCAGAAAAATTTTCATGTAGAGGTATAAAACTGTGTACTTGTTTTTAACCCTATCATTATAACTGGCAGCAAAACCCAAGCCTTTATTATGAAGGCTTAAACCAGGTATATAGAATTCACCATATACAGCATTGAATGACTCAAGAAACTCCTATGCTAAATTTAAAGTATGACTAAGCTGTAACAATCAGGCACATTTTAAACAAGAGTTGAAATGAACAATTTGATTTCCTTTTGCTAGCTTGAAAATAAATACTTGTTCACTGTATGTGAGAGAATATAAATATGTGCCTAGGATGGGACCAGACATAAAACAGGATCTCAGCAAATATTTTTAAAAGAATAAATACAAGAATGCCAATGCATTAACCTGGTTAATATATAGAACCTTCTAAGGAGGTTTTCAATAATATAAAGAAAATAAACTGGCTACTTGTTAAGAAGGCAGTAGCATTTCATAACGACAACCTTACCGTGAATCACAGGATTAGGGTATACACAACATATGCAATTCTTACCTCTAAATATAGTAGCACTTTGTCATCCATATACACTTTAATTATGAAAATTATCTTCATAAATATGTTATTAAGTGTTCTTCTTGATTCTTTTGTTGACTCTGCCAGTCTCCTCTCCTTCCCAATACCCAAATTACTTGCAGTACTATTAAAATTCTTATCACTCATTTCATCTTTCTATTTCCTAATGTTTTCTTTCTCCAATTAGCCTTATAAGCATCTTGAGGACAAATATGTCTTTTGCTGTCTTGATTCTACTTATTACTTACTATAGGCTAGGGATGGCATGTTTAAAACATTATAATTCTCTCTTGCTGATCACTTGCCATTCCAACCTTAAATAGGCTTTAGAATAAAGGATGCATTTACTACAGAATCTGATAAATACCTGGAAATAAAAAAGTTACATTTAGTGGAGTAAGAAAAATAGGTTCTTCTGATATTTTATCTTTATTGAAAATGGGAATTATTTTTGTGGTTACACTGCAAATAAAATAAGTCACATGGAATGTGTCCTTAGAATGTTGTAAAACTCAAATTTTAAATCTGCCATTCACAAAGGAAGATGAACAATGTTGTACTAAAAAAAACAAAGCCAACAAAACCCAAAATTACAACAAAGTATTTCCACTGTTATCTAGCTTTTTCTATTTCTGCTCAAATTAAAAAATCTTTCAAGTAAGCAGACTCTTGAAATTATTTTTCCTAACACACAAATCTACTTCAAATGTGGCAGTAACAGTTTTTTGGGTAAAAAACTGACAGAGATAGTAATTTTCCTTTCCATGTCCTTACCTACCTTTTTGATTAATATATAATACTTTTTAATAGTCCCACACAATGGGGCAAAAAATGAAGAGCAATCCTTTTGCAACTTACTGTGTGCCCAGCATTATACATTCTCCAACAACTATGTGATAGAAGTGTTGCCATATTATCTTAATTTAAGGAAACTGAGACTCAAGAGACCATACCTAAGGTCAATTAGTTAAGTTGTTGAAGCTACATCCAACATATTCCAAAGCCTATGCTCCTTCTTCTATGCTGTAATGTTTCCAGTCCACAGAAACTAAAGTTCTGCGGGAAAAAAAAAATTTGGAATAAATTTTTTATGATATCCTAACACCAAACCTTGGTGCATAATCCTGTTGTATTGAAATTCACCTTCTACAACTTTGAACATTATCACTGAATTCACTTTGAAGACTTGCACCTCTGTATAGTGGGCTCCAAAGTTCTTGTCCTCTTCTCCTCTCTCATAACATACTTACCCATGGCAAGTATATAGAATTCCCCTTTGAAAGGATGGGGAGCAGTATTGGTGGGTTAATTGCAACACAGAGAAGAATCATTGACAAAACAAATGAACACACACACATACGCATACCATTTTATGTTAACAAATCACAGAAGTATTCATTTATTTGCTCATCTTTTAATTGCAGGGCCAAGCCTATCTCTTGGCATATGGGTCTGCTGACTGACATTTCATGCACTCTTTCTTGTATAAACTACAACCATAACATATAGTCTATGAAATTGTTGTAGTATCTTTAAAATAGATGAAAAAGATCCTTGCAAGGCAAAATGAATGCAAAATTCCTCCAGATTTTTATGGTTTTCTCCATCTTTTATATTTCCTTCTCACCTAATTTTCTTGAGTTGCCAGTCTTTATGAAGTCTTCCCAAAGCATTGTATTTGGCTTTCATGGATACAACAACTTCCTTTACACACATATTACATCACTTAATATTTCATAAAGTAATATAATTATAATAACAAGTACATCCAACAGGTCCTGTCTCTTGGTAAACATATAACTTTTGACTAGTGGGAGAAGTATGTAGACATACTAGAGCCTGGGACATTCATGAGAGCTATTGATAACTATATTTTGTTATCTAGATTTTGTTGTCTAGATTTTGCAAAAGGAAAAGACAGTATCTGTTACACTGGCAAGTTGGTTAAGTGGGGATCAACGAAAGAATTTTGGTTTTGAAGTCACGTAGACCTGTTTTCAAGTCCTGGCCCTGAGACATTGGGCATTAGCTTCCATATCCGAGCTTTAATCTCTTCATCTATAAAGTAAGAACAAAACAGTTCCTTACTTTAGGGTAAGAAAGTTGTCATGAGATTACGTTAGATGGTGCCTTGCATTTAACACAAGGTCTGACACATGATAGGTGCTCAAAAGGACGGCTATTCTTGCTGCTGCTGGTATCAATATCGCAATAGCAACAGACTGAAGCTTTTCCAAACTGTATCTTGTAACTGTGTTTGCTAAACTTTGGTCTCATAAATCTAAGTTCCTAGAAGAGCTCAACACATGAATCTTTTATAAGCAAATCGGTCATTTCTGAAGCAAAACTTTTCCATAAACCT